CTATCTCCAAGTTTCTCCTTAATCAGGAAAAGAGGTTTTGGGTCCAAAAATAGGGCCACTAAATCTATTCGACATTACCTTATGCTTAAGAAGTGATATTAAGCACTTTTCTAATGCTTATATCCATTGTAAAATTTTGCACAAGGATTATAATAAACACAAGTCAGCTGCTTTTTTTAGGCAAAAGAACACTGGGAAATCTCAACCTCAAAACTAAATTTTATCCTGGCAAAGATTACATCCCCCCGAGATGATTATGACCACTACCACCCACTCCATTCCTCCACTCAACCTTGATTAATAATGGGAAACACTTGAATATGATGAGTTCTTTACAAATGTCAACAACCCAAGAACTTTTAGCCCTAGGTCCCTCCTGCCACATGGCAGGTTTCCTTAATACATAGTGATTAATTCAGGACTATGGAGTTAATCTACAACCACATTCCAACAGAAACATTTTAATCCTGCTTTTCTATAACCAGAAAGGCATGGAGCATGCTGAAGTGGTTACTAACCAATTTTCATCATCAAAAAGAATTGTACTATATTGGCCAAAATATTAGTCATGGGATTAGAATCCATCCTCCCTTGAACAGCCTAATCCTCTTACAAATAGCTCAGAATAATCAGGTTAGCTTCACAGAAATTTTAGTAAACCCGTCACTCTTACAAAGGACTTTCAGAAAAGGAAAGATCAAACACTTTTAAAAGTCCTTGATGCTGATGAAACATCAAGCAAAATAAATGTCTTACAAGGCACTTACATAATTGATTAAACTAAAGTATCCTAATAGAGATACATTTGCCATCACAAATGGATTTGTGTTAGAAAGCCTTTCACTGTGGAAACAAATTCTCCTGCTAGTTTTCTGAGTAACATGACAGTGAAAGAAAAAACACAGGAAAATGCCTCACCAAGCAACTTGTTGTCTAAAAATTTTCATATGGAAGTCCCTTTTGCCAATGCTATTTAAATAGGTGGTGACTGGACAGGGTCATTAGTTGTTCTGTGACCTTCTTTCCGGTGGGCAACACCATTTGACAAGGCAAAACAGCTCAAGTTTTCAAGGAATCCAGTTCACTTTGGCAGAGCTCTCATCAAATGCACACTGCAGGACACCTGAATACACCAGGCCACTAAGCCACAACCCTCCTCCCTACAGCTTGCAAAAGTATTTTTAAAAATCCAGGATGGAATCATAAATGTACCATTGGTTTCCACTTAGATGCAATTCTTAATTTAAATTTATCCATGTCATCTTGGGTCTGTATTGTGCTACTTAATTTATCCACCGTCAGTTCCAGATTCACCACATCAAAAAATAGTAATGATCACACCTCCCTATCTTTAACATTCCTAATAACAATGCCAAAACTATAGATCCTACAGCAGTGTCCTTTATCAGGGCCAAACTGACATAGAATGGTGTCACCACCAACTGGTCCCTCTTCTCGTTAAGTGCCCTTGCATCCAACCTGAAGTTTGCCAAAGGCTTCCTTGCAGCTGGGCACTCACACAAGCACAACCACACAGGCCTCATGAACACTGGATCATGGCATCTTCAGCCCCTAAAACTCAGATCCTCCCAGTGGCTAATGATCCCCAAATTCCATCCTGCCCAGACAAGGGTTCCATGGCTGCCCCTCTCTGCCATTCACCCAAAAGAAGACAAGCATTCTGTCAAAAGGGAGAAGCTACCACCAACATAATTGGAATCAAAATGCTTTTATGTTTTTGCAAAATGCTTAATGTGATGGTTAATATCATGTGTCACTTGCAGGGCCCATATATGTGAACAAACATTATTCAGAATGTTTCTGTGAAGGTGTTTTTGGATGTTATCTACACTGAATTTTTGAACACTGAGTAAAACAGACTGCCTTCCATGGCAAGGGTGAGTCTCATCCACTCAGCTGAAGTCCTGGATAGAACAAGCAAGCTAGGACTGCTATTAGCAGGAGGCTTCAACTGCAACACTGTCACTTCCCTAGGATTCCAGCCTGCTGGCCTGCAGACGTGAACTGCAGGTTTTGGGCTTGTCATGTGAGTCAACTGCTTAAAATGACTCTCTTTGACTCTCTCTCTCTCTGTCTCTCTCTTGCTTCCTCCCCTCCCTTCATGACAGGAATAAATTCTGGGAAATGCATCGATAGGTGATTTTGATACTTGTAAGCATCGTACAATATACTCACACAAATGACATGGATAGGACTTCGATGAGTCTACAGTTTAGAGGACCACTACTGGGTATGCCATTCATCACTGACCCAAAAGGTTGGTATATAGCCCATGCCTGTGTGTGTGTGTGTGTGTCTGTGTGTGTGTGTGTGTGTGTGTGTGTGTGTGTGTGTGTGTGTACACATATATTCTTTTTCTCTGGACATTCCTGCCTAATATCATTAGAATGTATCTTAAGATAAAAAGTGTGTTCTGGGATGTGGGAAAAGAGAAGGGAAAGAAGGAGAAATTTTGTATGTATGTATATACAGGATAGTTAACATAGTTGTTCTTCTGTCTTCTATTTCTATGCTGAAAGAAACTGTCAATGAGTCTTTGGTTGACCAGTATTGCATGTCTATATGTTTTCATGAGAAGCCACTTTGAAGATATCAATATGTAATACAACCACCATTGTTAATTCCCTACCACTTTGTTTGTAACTCTGTATTGTCTATATTGTGCTTGTGATATGTTGTAAAATGTTGTATGTCTGTTAATGTTTCCCTCCTTTTATCTTTAAAAAAAAAAAAAAAACATAAAAAGTGTGAAAAGTTGTTAGTACACCACACAAAACAATTATACCCATAATCCTTCAAATTGATCATTAATGACGTCATAACAGCCTCTCTATTCACTAATGTAAGTAGGTCACATCCATAGTTCTTTAGACTTACTTTTCAGAATAGGTCCAACTTGCCTGGTGTGGTGGCATGCACCTGTAATCCCAGCACTTGGGAGGCTGAGGCAGGAGTATCATTGTGAGTGTAAGACTAGCCTAGGCTACATAACTGAGTTCAAGGCCAGCCTGAACTACATAGCAAGACCCTGTCTCAAAAAGCATAAAACAAAAAAAAGAATAGGTCCATCTTGTTTGTTCTTGAAACCTCTAGTGAAGGAAATGAAAATATAAGTACTTCACCTCTGTAATTGTAATCTCCAGCTGTTCAGAAGATACTTTCTGAATTACAGTCAGACAGGGAATCTCCAGGACAGAAGTCACTACAATGCTAGCAACTCCTAGTGGAATTATGAATCAGGGTTATTGAAACATATATTGTACTCCAGATGCAAGGGCAAAGAGAAAGGAATGCCAGTTAAGAGAGATGAAGCTGGACTTTCTCAGGGCAGGAGAACCTGTTGCTCAAAGCTCTTTGGCAGGAAAAGAAGAAAGGCTCTGCTGGATGTAGGCACTCTCAGCAATGGTGATCTTCTGTGGTTATATACATGAGGTTTGCTTGTATTTTTTTAATGACAAGTGATTTCTTAGGTCTTGTTCTAATGAGATGGCATCCTAAAGTAACAAAACCATAAAAACAACAGAAAAACATAATGATAGTGCTATGTAACACTGCCAAGTTATCATCACATTTCAATTACTTGTGATGATAGGAGACAAACATAATACGAGTAATAAAAACCCAACAATAATCCAAAAATGTAATCCTAGCTGATGGTTCAAAGATCCCTTACTGAAACAAGTGATGGGTGTTGCTTTTGTGGAAAAGAGCTTCTGAATCTGCGTGAGATGATCAGTTCATCTCCAGGAAGCAGCACTGTGTGATATACCCAGAGGGATAGCTTCCATCTGTCCTGGAGGGGTGGGTGGAGGACCACAAATGCCAGATCCTAAGGTCACAGTGCCTTGGTTTGGGGATTATTTTGCAAGGGTAACAATATAATCCAGGACACATATTTTATAAGGTTATTTATAACAGTCACCTAAAGAATCATGTACAAGAGAGTGCAGGAAACCTGTCCACACACTAAGACCAAGGAATCTAGCCAAGGACCTGGATCCCATGGAAATGTCCTGCATGAGTCCAGCTGAAGACCTAGAGCTCATAACTATCTTATGCAGGCCTGTTTCACAGATCTGTGCTGAGAAGGGCCAAAGGTCAGTGGTGGAATCTAGGAAGTCTGTACCAGCAGGATGAAGGATCTGTCCCAGCAGGCTGAGGGATCTGCACTGGAGCCAGGAAGTGATGCTCTGAATAAGAACAAACACTCCTCCAAAAAGTACCACAGCTCTCCTCAGCAACAGTGAGGTCCCGAGCTCCTCCAGTGGTGAAGACAGCAGAGTTCCCATCAGGAAAGCCAACACAGCAAGCTTCTCCAGGAGACTGGAAGTGTACCATCTTCCCCTCCAGAGCCAGGAAGTGATGCTCAAAGTGAGGACCAGAGCTCCCCCAAAGTGAACTGAAGCTATTTTCAGTGCCAACAAGGTCCCGAGCTCCTCACAGGATGAAAAACAGCCAAGTTCATCAGGAAAGCCAGCATGACGAGGTCCTCCAAAAGAACCAACATCTCCTTATAGCTTCTACCAACTCCCAACAGGCTCATCTCAGCTCCCAACAGCCTTTCTCAATTCCCAACAGCCTACCAACTTCTTCTCCAGGTCTGCTTCTCATGCTGCTGGGAACAATCCTCAGGTGGGCCTTCCACACCCAGCACCATGCTGGTTTAGTTCAGCTGGGGGTTACAAGTTGACCACCAGTTGTCAATCCACCACACACGGCGAAGGGATTTCTCCCTTACCATGATACTTACACTTTCTGGTCAGCATGTTCTTTGCTTTTTTGAAAACTCCAGTGTGAACATTCAGGTTACAAACAAAAGGTTGTTTGACACGCATGTAATGAAGACAAGGTGAGATGGCAGAGTCAGTTGATGGACAGCAGCACAGGGACACAGATAAACCTTTCAGAGGCCAAAACTCCTCAGAATGGCATCCACTCTCTAGGCAGAAAAGTTCCTGCAGCGGAACAGTCATACTCACCAACTCTCCACTTCTGGGCCTCTCGTGATAACCAGGTTTCCATGACCAAGGCCCTTGTTCAGCCCAGATGGTGCGGGGTAGACTAGAGATAGCCCCTGGTGCAGAAATGCAGCTGTGATTTCCGGGCAGTACACACTGGCACCGTGATTAGTTCTAGGTGTTTCTAAAACTCCCCAGACACCTATCTACAAATCACTGTACAGGGCAGACGTTGTGCACTGAATTGTGTGCTCCTCCTCCACCCATTGAAATCCTGGCCCCCAAGCACGTCAGTACATGACAGTAACTGGAAATAGGGTCATCAGATAGCTAAGTTGAAATGAGGTCGTTTTAACGAAGTCCCTCTAAAAGGGGGAAATTTGCACACAGGTGCAGGCACAGGCACACACAGAGGGAAGATGATGTGAGGACACAAGGAGAAGTTGGCCATCAGCAAGATAAAGACAGCACTTGGACCAGAACCTTTCCTGCCAGCCTCAAAAGGAACCAACCCTTCAGACATCTTGACTTTGGATTTCTAGCTTCCAAAACACTGAGACAGTAAGATCCTTGTTGTTTAGGACCCAGTATACAGGGCTTTGTTATGATAGTCCTAGCAAACTAATACAGTGGGAGACTTCAGTTTTCTGTGTGGATCTTTCTCTCTCACATACAGTTTTTCACAATTTTAAGAGATGTACTCCTTGTGTGCTTGTTTGTACGTGGCCCCCACACACCACTACCACCATCGATCACTAATAGTTTGTACAAACACCCCAGTGAAAGCACACAGAGGTACTAATTTCCAAAGCCTGAAGGAGGGAAGCTATGTTTAATGGGGGAACTGGGGTTATAAATACCCCTGACCATATAATCAGCTCATAGCAATGGATGAGTACAGACAGAAGAAGTCATGCATGCATATTCATGCACACTTCAGAGTATTCCTCAAAAATTGTCTCCATATGGAGCCTCAGCAATCCCCTGCCCCTTAGTTCTCAATCCTCTGCAACCTCCTCCACCCTACAAAGTCATTGCATCTCAAGGGAAGCTACTCATGCCAAACTCTATGCATGGTTTTTACTGCTATTTCTCAGGACCTCTACATTTGATCCCTTCCTTGTGGTTGGAACTTTCCACTATCTCTCACTGTATCACATCACAATGAACCAACTCACTTCCTGTGTCTCTGAGTAGCCTTTCTTGATTTCTACCACGGACATTATTCCTCCATTTGTTGCCTCATAAATATTACTCTTCCTTGTATTTGTATCAGCCTGCTCCTGCCAATACATCAATTTACCTAAAATTTATACACTAATAGCTCCAAATTTTACACCAAAAGCTCAGCCCTCTTCCCATCAAGTTCAACTAGGTAGCATATGCCCAGCTTTCTAATAAGAAAACACTACATTCACTCTGCTTATATTTCAGGAAAGACAGCCATTTCTGTGGCCTGCTTTCAATTCCTTCTCAGCAATATCCCTTCATTCTGACATGTTTCACTGGCCTCTCTGCCTTCAGTACTGAGGATTTGCATCATCCATAGACTAAGTGTATTACCATGACATATTACTGGGTTTTCCTGTCACTGGGTCAAAATATCCAACACCCACAGTTTAAAGGAGGAGAGGTTTATTTTGGCTCACAATTTCAGCAGATTTAGTCCATGGTTAGCTGGCTCCAAGGCAGGAACATCATGGCAGAAGGCTGTAGTGGAGCAAAGATTCTCACATTATGGCACTGGGAAACAGCACAGGGAAAGGGCACCAACAAGAGAAAGATGCTCCAAAGATGCACCCCTAGTGACCCACATCCTCCAACTGGACCCCTCTCCTAACCACATTCAGCCATGAACACCAGAAGGTTAATCCACTGACGAGTATAGTGTACCTGTTATCCAACCACCTCTCCAGGAGTCTCTTAAGTCTCAAGATGACAATTACAGTCAACTATCACAGCACACCTGACCCTTCACAAGCTGGCCCTACTTATCTGTTTAGCCCTAACTGCTATCTCTCCCAATCTAGTCAGAGCAGAAGACCTCTTCTTTCTTGAATATTTCTAGATCTTTGATCATATTATCCCATGCATGGGAAATCTGTCCCTCCTAACCTGCCTGAGGAAGGACTGCTCATCTTCCTGAGATGAAGCACATCTTCATTTTAGTTTTCACTAGAGCTGAGCCAGCCAGGACCTCACCACATCCCATGCTCCTGTTGTGTCCTACAGATTCCACTACTGCAATGCTTATTCCGTGTCATGGTCCTTCACTTAAGAACTTGGCAGACAGCAATGGACTGTATATATGACAATGGTTTCAAAACATTATAATGGAGCTGAAAAGTCTAACCAATATTTTTACTATACCTTGTTTTATATTTAGATATGGTCAAGTACACAAATCCCATTGTGTGGGACTGGGGATTTAGCTCAGCGGCAAAAGCGCCTGCCTGGCAAGCGCAAGGTCATGAGTTCGGTTCCCAGTACAGGAGAAAAACGAAAAAAAAAAAAATCCCATTGTGTAATATTCACCTACAGTAACAGTAGCATGCTGTACACATGTACAGTCCACAGTAATAGACTGTACAGCATAGCCTAGGTATGTGGTAGATGACCCCACCTAGCTTGGTGCAAGCCCACTCTATGATGCTGTCACAATGACAAAGTTGCCTAGCAACACGCCTCAGAAGGTATCCCCATCACTAAACAATGCTGTATATGACTGAGTCTGAGCAATGTGTTTGTTGACATTTTGTTAAAGAGTGGACAGCAGAGGAGAAGAGAGCGATGGATCTTGGACTGGTATAGATATTAGGAAGAGCCACTGGTTGTCAAAGACAGATGTCAGTTCTGTAGTAGATCAGTGGACCCTCTCACATGAAGCCTGGAATTTCAAGAAATGTACAAAGACACTGGGCTAGAAAAAAATTCAACTTGGCCTGAAAGGACCGTGTGATGCTGCTGGGATTCAGGCAGAGATTAATGTCCTGATGTTGAACTATTTCCTTGTGACATTCTTCCCCTGGAAGCTGTTGGCATAGAGTGAGTTTTCCCTGAAGTTTATATTCCCAGAATTCATCCTCCTAAGACAGAACAGAAATGGGAACACGGACACAGACTCCAGAGATAAACCTTGAACTAGAGGACAGAAGACCCCTGTTTGGTTGTTCTTTGCCCCTATAGTGGTTGGACTTTGAATGATGTGAATATGAGAGGTGAGAGAAGCCACCTTCTGAAAACCACAGATCCCCAGTGTTGTGAACTATTCTTTGGATTGTATTCCCTCTCCATCACCGACAGACCTTCAGCCAAATCTTACCTGTACTGACAGACCAATAGCAATTGTGTCATGGACTTTCAATGGAAAGACCTCTTTTACTTGGGCATGGAGAGGCAGAGGACAGTGATGGCTCTCCTACAGTGATGGCTCTCCTCCATGGCCAAAGTGGGCCCTTCAGCTTTGACAGAAGGCATTATACACCCGGGAAAGGATGCCCCATAAAGGGTTGCAGGGTGGTGACACATGAAGCTGGAGATGAAGGGCACAAGTTGCTGAATACATCAAGCTCAAATCTTTAGATACCCCCCAAATACTCAGGGGTCCATGGGAGGAGGCCAGGAGCTGCAGTGGGTGTTGGAAGTCAGGTTACGCTGAGAATGAAGGGAAATATGACTACATTTTGCCCCTGTGAGCTGATGCAGGCTGGACGCCCCGCTCCCATCTTGCAGCAACTTTATTCTATGAAGATATTTGACTGTTCATTTCAACTCACTTAAGGCAACGCCAGGCTGTACAAGAGGATTGGCATCACTTTGCTATTGGCTTTCTTTACTCCTGCCTATTTATAAATTTAAAGTAAAAAGTGTGTGTGTGTGTGTGTGTGTGTGTGTGTGTGTGTAGGTTATACTGAAAAAGATTGTAGAATAAACTGTACTATGTTAGAGAACTATAGTATAACCTTTTTTGGCAATTTCATGTGACCAAAAAATAGTTAATTCTTTTTTTAGTTAATTCTTTAAAATGTTTACAGCTTTCAATTCAATTGACAAAAATTAATGAACAAGTGGAAGCGCAGCATAAACAATTGGAATCATTACCAAGAACATCCTGTACCTATCAGTTTATGCAGAATGACCAGCTCCCTTGAAATAGCTCATTACAGTTGAGAAAGGGACTTTCATCCCACCATTATTTCTGGAAGTCCAATCCTCTAAGTCACTGACTAATTGGGCTAATTGGAGGAGAAAAAGTGTGCAGAATGTTCCTTCAGTGTGTACAATAATTTGTTTTTATTTTCAGCTAAGGCTTTTCTCTCTAATTATATTGATTTGTAGTTCCCAAAAAATGAAAAATCCTGAGGGGGAAAGCATTTATTTACAAAGGGCAATTCTAAACAAAAATAAAGATAAGGTCAAAAGTGTTATAAAACCTAAAATAGTATTCTTTTGACAGCCTATTTTAGGATACTACATTCACTTAAAACTCACTAAAAATACTGTCCAAAACACTCTGAAAAACCAAGAACTGTATGTCCCAAATAAGTGTCAACTTGACATAGAGCTTTTGCTTTACAGTGAGGCACTTCCCAGCTGACAAATGGGTTGTGCTAAAAAAAGTTCTTCTGAAGTTAATTGTTCAGAACTTGGGCCAACTCACAACTGGAAATTAACCCTAAAAGCTCTCAGTGTTATGCTATGGTCATCCCAATAAGGTTCAGGCTGGGAACTCACATGACAGAAGTGTCTTCCAGGGTCTTGCTGGAAATCTTTGGAATTCCATCTCTGCCTACATTATCTCTACCTACTTTTTTCCCAGAGCATCTTAGTGTTCACATTTATCTTCTTTACAAGGACCCTAGTGACACTGGATTAGGAGCTCAGCCTACCCCTCATGTGACTAATACATCTGCAATGGCCGTACTTCTAAATAAAGTCACTTTCTGAGATACAAGGTGGTAATGATTTCAAAATATGAATTTAGAGAGGATACATGAACCCATCCATTCCAGAGCATTTGGCTAGTGCCTTCACCAGCATCATTGAGGACTGCTTCTCACAAGGGCCTCACCCCGAGCCCCATGGCTTCTGCATTCTTGCTCTCCTGCACTGGAAATGGGGTCAGGGAGGGAAGGACTGACCATCAGCACCAGAGAGTTATAAACCCTGCATGTGCATAAGTGAGGGGCGGACTGAGCACAGTTCTGGAGACGAGGTAGGAGACCCTCTGAAGGCACTGGCTCCTATGGCAGGGATTCTCCTCAGACACATCAAGAAGACCTGGAGGCTGTGGCAGAAGGCAGGTAGCTGGGCCATGACTAAGGTTTCCAACCTGGCATGCCCACAGTGGGGTCCAGGCTTTGCATTTTCACCAAGTTCTCAAGTGAGGCAGGTGTGCCACTGGCCACAGTTGAGGAGCCACCACCCTAAAGCATAAGAATGAAGAGATTTGACTTCTGATTCCGAGC